TCTATTTTTTCTGATACAAGTACTCCAACAACTGCTTTTTTCTCCCTACAGTTTGCATGAAACACCTTTTTCCATCCCTTCACTTAGTCTGTGTATGTCTTTGAGTTTGAGGTGAGTCTCTCATAGGCAGCGTATAGATGGGTTTTGCTTTTTTATCCATTCTATAACTCTGTGTCTTTTGATTGGTACATTCAGTGCATTTATATTTAGGGTCATTGTCAATAGATATGTACTTACTGCCATTACAGGCCTTGGATTCGTGGTTACCAAAGGTTCAAGGGCAGCTTCTTTACTATCTTGCAGTCTACCTGAACTCACTCATTAACACTATTATAAACACAGTCTGAGGATTCTTTTTTCTCCCCCTTCTTTTTCTTCCTCCTCCACTCTTTATATGTTAGGTGTCATATTTTGTACTCTTTGTGTATCCCTTGACTGACTTTGTGGGTAGTTCATTTAATTTTGCATTTGGTTATAAGTTGGTCTGCTTCCTTTGCTGTGGTTTTATTTTCTGTGGTGACAGCTATTTAGCCTTAGGCACACTTCCATCCAGAGCAGTGCCTGTAAAATACACTGTAGAGATGGTTTATGGGAGGTAAATTCCCTCAACTTTTTCTTATCTGGGAATTGTTTAATCCCTCATTCAAATTTAAATGATAATCTTGCTGGGTAGAGTATTCTTGGTTCAAGGCCCTTCTGTTTCATTGCATTGAATATATCATGCCATTCTCTTCTGGCCTGTAGGGTTTCTGCTGAGAGGTCTGATGATAGTCTGATGGGTTTTCCTTTGCAGGTGATCTTTTTTCTCTCTGGCTGTTTTTAATACTCTGTCCTTGTCTTTGATCTTTGCCATTTTAATTATTATATGTCTTGGTGTTGTCATTCTTGGGTCCCTTTTGTTGGGAGATCTGTGTATCTCCATGACCTGAGAGACTATTTCATTCCCCAGATTGGTGAAGTTTTCAGCAGTTATTCCTTCAAAGACACTTTCTGTCCTTTTTTTCTCTCTTCTTCTTCTGGTTCCCTTATAATATGAATATTGTTCTGTTTGGATTGGTCACACAGTTCTCTTAATATTCTTTCATTCCTAGAGATCCTTTTTTCTCTCTCTACCTCAGCTTCTCTGTATTCCTGTTCTCAGATTTCTATTCCATTAACAGTCTCCTCTACCTCATCTAATCTGCCTTTAAATCCCTCCATTGTTTGTTTCATTTCTGTTGTCTCCTCCCTGAATTTGTCCCTTAGCTCTTGAATATTTTTCTGTAGCTCCATCAGCATGTTTGTGACTTTTATTTTGAATTCTTTTTCAAGAAGATTGGTGATTTCAGTCTCACTGAGCCCTCTTTCTGGTGTTTGAGGGATTTTGGATTGAACAAGGTTCTTCAGCCTTTTCATAGTCCTGGAGCGATGGGAGTGGTCGCTGGTGAGTGGTGTAGGTGTCATCTGGAAGGACAAAGTCCCTTCCTGCCTTCCGGTCACCGTGCCTGTCTCCGTTGTCTGTGCTGATTAACCATGGGCGGGACAGCTCTCGGGATGGCCTAGGGCGCTGGTGGCTTCACAGGCGAGTGGCACAGGTTGTGCCACAAGAAAAAAGCCCCTTCGTGGCTCCCAATCTCAGTACCCATTTCCACTGTCTGCCTGTCAATTACAAGCAGGGAGCAGCTTGTGGGTCTGGGCTGGTACGCTGTGCGCAGAAGCCTCTGCCTTAAGCTATGTAGTTGTTGCAGGCGGGGCTGCTCTCCAGACTGCCTGTAGCAATGGCATGGACAGCCTGTTTGTGCGCAGGTGCTAGTGTGGAGGAAAGACTGGCAAGCTGCTTATTGTTGTGAGGGACCTCAGGGCTGCGTTGCCAACCAGGGGGCAAGGGGATACAGTGCTTGAAGCTCCTGAAAGTTCCCAGACTGCTGGGCTGAGTGAGCCAAGACGATATTGTCCACCTGTTCCTTCTCCTAAACCATTGCTCCTTTAAGACTTTTAAAGCACCTGCTTTTCTTTTGTCCCAGCGCAGCCGGTTGTGGGAACCTGTTCAGTCTTAGTCTCAGACTAGTTTTCAGCCCCTCCGATCTCCAAAGCATCATGCAATGTAGGTCTGTGCTCCCAGAGCAGATTTCTATGGCTGGGTATTTAGCAGTTCTATTCATCCACTCCCTCCACTCTCTGATTCTTTTCCTCCCACCAGTGAGCTGGGGTGGAGAGAGAGCTCGGGTTCCCCTGGGTCACAGCTTTTTACTTTACCCTTTTCTGTGAGATGTTGACTTCTCCCAGATGTAGACTGGCTGGTGTACTGTTACTTATGGTCACTATTTTAGGAATAGTTGTATTTGCTGTATTTTCAAAATATATGAGGATTTGGGAGGAGATGTCCATCACACTACTCACAGCACCATCTTTCCCATCTCATTCTGCTTGCTTTTTAACAGTATGTATTAGTTTTCTATTGCTGCTGTAATGAATTACCACAAACTTAGTGACTTAAAACAACAAAAATTTTAGAACTCTGGAGGTCAGAAATCTGAAATGGATTTCACTGGGCTAAAATCAAGGTGTTGGCAGGGCAACATATCTTTAGAATGCTTGGGGTAAATTATGTTCTCACCTTTTCTAACTTCTAAAGGTGCCTGAATTCCTTGGCTCATGGCCCCTTCCTCCATTTTCAGAGCATCTTGAAACACAACATCTCTTACTCTGACTCATACCTCTCTCATATAAAGATCCTTGTGATTGTACATTGGGCCCACTTGAATAATCCCCATCTCAAGATCCTTAAACATAATCTGCAAAGTTTCTTTTGCATTGTAAGGTAATATGTTGACAGATTCCAGGAATTAGGATGTGGACATCTTTGGAGGGCTCTTATTTTACCTACCACACAGCATACTGCATCTGTCTTGCTTTATCGGTATATATGAATCTAACATTCTTTTTAACAGTTGGGTAGGACTGATACAAAATTAACCACTCTTCTGATGAATATTTAGGTTTCCAGTTTTTATGCTACAGTAAGTAAGTCATGCTGCTCTGAACATTTTTGTACATGTTTGTGTGAGTATGTTAGTATATCCATGGAATAAATTCCTAAAACTGACATTGCTGAGTCAAAGGGTAAATTTATTACTGATTTGATAACACTGTCAGATTGCCATCCCAACTGTGGCACTAATTTACAACCCCACAGCCACACCTATTTCCCTATACTGTTGTCAACACAAAATATTAATAATCTTCATGTATTTTAATATATGAGTAAAAGTTTAATTTCAAATGGCATTTCCATTGTTAAAAATAAGGTTGAGCATTATTGTACTACTTTCTTTTAGTATTATCTAGATTAAACTTTTTGGATCCTAAAGAACAACATGTTTCATGAAGTACTCATGAGAATTTGGGTCCATGATGTTTATGTTTACTTGAAAGCATGTTTATTCCATACTAAATACTTTTTAAGTAACTATTTATACATGTAAGTTAGTAGTTTTCTAAAAGAAATCATTGTGTAATAATTATCAAGACTTTTTAGGATGTTAAGTATTGGACTTGGGTGTTGACTACAAAAAACACAATACTTACTTGTTCCTGTTTTGTTTTGAGGGTTTTTTTATGTTAAAGCAAAAATTCTGAATTGGGAGTTTTTAAACTATAGCTACCAGCTTCATAGTGTCAGCTTTGAATTTATAAGTGTTTTTATTACATCTTTGTCATGTCCTGTATTTCCCCACACTTTAAGGAATAGTCAGAATATAAAACCTGTGTGAAATATAAGTAAAGAAGATACAGAGAAGTGTGAAATGTAATTTGAGATTATTTATGCCCAGCCTTCAGTTAATTGATCTGAGAGAAAAGGAGTATTCTATAATCCAAACCTTTAAAAAATCCTTTCAAACTAAAAGCATTTATTGGTTCTGAAGGAGGGTCAAGGAAATGTACTGCATGGCCATAGTGTTAGTATCAGGGGTGGTAGGGAATCTTTTTACTGTGTAGTCCTTTGGTATCTTTAAATGTTTTTAAAATGGAATCAGACTGTCTATTAAAAGTAATCACTGTTAAAGCCCTTTTATAATAATTGGCTCTTATGTGACTGAAGTGGCAACTTGATTCCATTGAGGTGTAGGAAGATGAACCATCTTTATTAAAGATGGAATCTAAAAGTGATTGTTATTCCTATGTTGTTCCAACTTTAGTGTATATGTTACTAATGCAATACAGATTTCTGCTTAAATATACTTTGAAAGGCAATGAAGCCTACTTCACCTAGAACTAACACTTAGTCAATATGATAACCAGGTCCTGTGCATTTAATTCTTACTTCCTCTCCAAAAGTCTCATTGAAATAACAGAAACAAATAGAAGCACAGAGAAAATACTAATAAGTTTGTAGAATGCTAGAAACTGGGGGTACATCCTAAAAAGTTTATTATTCTATAAAACACAGTGTTTGAAAGACTTCATTGAACTGCCATTGATCAGTACTCAATCTTGGGGGAAAAATAAAACCTGAAATGTGGGTTAATGCCCATTTAGCCCCTGATCAACTCCCCCATCAAAACCTTGAGCTCAAAGCTACAAGTACTGTGAGCAAGGGAGCCAGTGGTGGGAAACAAACTTAGATCCTGGCTCAACATCTCAGGCTCCCTTCTTGGATCTCCTCTTCTCAGTTCAGTAGGATGTGGATTTTCCTCAGGGCTCCATGGCTTCAGTTACCATGTATTTGATGACAACTCCCAATTGAAAATCTCCTATCCAGTCACCACCACCACTACACCGTAGCCTGTTCTGCACATCAAAATTGAACAACCTTTAAGTCAGAAAGGGGAAAAGGCTTACAAATCTTTACCCCTTTGACTCCTTTTTCCTCTTCTAGGCCATAGGTTTGCTGATGATGTCAAACGGCATCAACAAGTGTGGCTTATCCTTACTTAAGAACTTAAAACCATTTTTGCCTGTCAGGATAAAATACTCCCTTTGATCAAAAACCTTTGGGCTAATATCCTTTACCATTTTAGGTTGAATTCTCTTACCCGCCCCTGATTCCAGGAGACAGACATGACAGTCACACTTTACCTGAAGAATGGAAGTATTTGCCCTTCCTTGCCTTACCGGATGGCGCACACAACTACCAGGAAGGTATGTAAAACGGTGAAGCAATTAGTAGGTGCTATGTTTTTTTAAATTTGCCAGTAAGTACTGAGGTAAATGAAAGGCCTTTGGCCTATTGTGACTACTCATAAAATTTTTCTGTGCTTGCTTGGAGATGAGTAGTCATGCACTAGAGGATCTCCAGGAGGAGTGTTAATTAGGCTTGTATTGATAATGGCTGGTCAACTTTGGCTACTTTTTTGCCAGGAGCATTGGCCAAGGTGATTAGCTGGAAGAGGACATCTGCTACTGGCAGCATGTCCTCAATTTATACTTCAGACTCCTCTCAGAGCCATGCTAAAGGGCTTACCTGCTCGAGCTGCAGATTGGAGCACCAGCTGCCAATTTAGTAGGTTATTACTCCAGTGTCTACCTGGAAACAGCTGGTATTGCTTCTCCACCCCTGGAGCCATTGCTACCACAGTGCTCTGCCTAAAAGTTGCCTTGCATGTGTGAACATCCTCCAAAGCAGTGCTGTGAAGTTAGTACTGAGTCACCTACCACCCTACAAAAGAGTGCTTTGACTAGCTTGATGAAGGACTATATTTTATTATGGCATTAGAGGCTCTACCAAAACACCAGGTTAAACTTGGTTTGATTACCTATATTCCTAATATTTAAAAATTCTTATAGGAAATGAAGCAGATGTTACTCTGCAGTTTAACAGATATTTTCAATACAGCATTTTTAATCTCACAAATCTTTTTTCCTAACCTTTTTATTATGAAAGTTTTGAAACATATAGAAGAGTTGAAAAAATAGTGTAGCAAATATTCCACCGATTTTCTTTCTGTTTGTGTGTGTGTACAGTTTTACCTGTACTATTTGAAAGTCAGACACTTTACCTCTAAATACTTCAGCATGCATCTGCTAAGAGTAAGATCATTTGCCAGGATAACTCCCAATACCATTAGCACAGCTAAGAGATTTAACAGTAATTCCATAATACCATTTATTAGCCAATTCTATGTTCAAATTTCCCCAATTGTCCCAAGAATTTCTTGAATCAATTCAAGATTCATGTGTTGCTTTGGTTTATATGATTCTTTCTTTTTTTTAAATTTATTTTTATTAAGGTATCATTGATAAACAATCTTATGAAGGTTGCACAAGAAAAAACAATAATCGTTACTACATTCACCCTTATTATTAATTCCCCCACCATACCCCATTGTAGTCACTGTCCATCAGGTTTCATAAGAAAAAACAATAATTGTTAGTATATTAACCCTTATTATTAATTCCTCCACCATATGCCATTACAGTCACTGCCACAGAGTCCCTACTTGTCTTCTCTCTGCTACACTGTCTTCACCGTGACCCCACACATACCATGTGCACTAATCATGATACCCTTCAATCTCCTTCTTCCTCCCTTCCCACTCACCCTCCCCCACCCTTCCCCTTTGGTAACCGCTAGTCCCTTCTTAGAGTCTATGATGATTCTCTTTCTTTTAATCTGGAACAATCGTGTATGGATAAAGTATTTTCTTTAGTAGTCAAAGTCTCAATTTGACCTGTTTCAATTCAGCCTCTTGGGCTTTTTGCGATGAGCATACTTTGTGTAAGGCAATGAGAATTATAAGAAACCAGTGGTTGTGATGAAATAAGTATGGCATGGGTTCCTTGTTATGTCATCATTTTTGTTTTAATGACTGCATTATAATAACCTCAAATTTCATTATTTATTAATAAGGGCAACTCACTTTGGTATTTACACTTTTCTGTGTATCTCTTAGATACTGTGTTTTTTCACTTGCCACCCAGAAACGGAAATGGAGCCACAGTATATGGAATCTCTTGCTATCGACAAATTGAAGCCAAGGTATAATCGTTACAATGAGCAACCAAAAAACCCCAATTATAAGTGTTCACTGCCTAAAATGTAAAATTTAGGGAAATAACTAGTCTTTATTATTCATGTGGTGCTTGTGATACTATTTAAAAATTTTACAGTTTATAGCTATTCTCATTAGGAGAATTCACATGAATGCTTTTTAAGTTGACATTGGTAACCATAATTATATTTGTGTCATATATTTTATACATTGCTTTTAGACAGTGGTACCTAAATTATCCGTTTGTCTTCAAAATACTGCATTTAAATTTCTTGGTGTCCTTGAATTGTATTTATAATGTTTGGTATGTGACTTAGGAAAATGGAGTAGTAATGTATGTTTTGTTCTTTTCTTTTTTTTTTTAGAAGCATTTTAGTATTTAGTAGTTGAAAGGACTTGCAGTAGCTTTGAACTACTCACAAGTTATCTTAATAATCTACAACTAAGATTGTTGATAATTCTAAACTACCTGCCAGCTTAATGCCTGACTTAACTATAATGTCTCTATTTAATAAATTCAAATAAACCAAGATGGGTAGCTCAGCTGCCCCTTTCATGTTTTTTGTTTGGTAAGCAGCACTCTTTTTCTGTGGTGACAATACTCCTTATGAGTAAAAAGCTCTTTCCTCTCATGAGATCATTAAGACTTGGGAGTAGTAGGTACTGAGTGTTTCTCGACCCTTGGCTGCACCCTGGAATCACCTGGGGAGCTTTAGCTAGGGATGACTTGGCCCTAATCCCAGAGATTCTGATTTAATATTCTGGGCATTGGGAGTTTTAGAAGCTCCCAAATGATTCTAATATGTAGCTAAGACTGTGAACCACTGCTCTAAAACAATAGTTTTTGACCAAAATTAGCTGCACACTCTTTCTTTTCTTTTGTTTTCTTTTTTTAAAACATGCCCGGCCTTCTACCATAGAGTAGAGCTTAGGTGATGAAGTTTTAAAAGCTTCTCCAGATGAATAACTTAGTAAATCTTTAAAAATTTTATTTTAATTTTTTATAATGAACATTTCAAACATGCAGACAAATTAAAAAATTGGACAATGAATACCTCTATACCCACTGTCTAGATTTAACAATGTTGACATTTGACCACATTTGCTGTGGGGTGTGTGCGTGTATGTGTGTATATGTCTGTCCTTGTACCATCTGAAAGTAAACTGCAGGTGTGAATTCCACCTACTGTGAAATAACCCTCCATGTGCAGGGCCTGGATCATAGGACACACCCTGTAAATGTTTGTGGAATGAATAACTATTTAAAGATAAAGAAACCTGAGAATAGGAGTTAGGCTGGTAACTCTGTGCATTTGATTCTTCGTATACTGTTGCCCTTACATATTTTCATATGAGATGTATTGATCTGCTGCCCTTTCTTTGTGATCTGTTCCTTTTACTACCTCTTATCCCATTTAGGTTATGAAAGCACTAGTAAAATTATTTCTCCAAAGCTGCTGTTGTTCACAACAGTTGTCATGTTCTCCATAGCCTTTAAATTTCATACTGCCTGTCTCCCTCACCCCTGAGTCTGACCCACTCCAAGTATATTGGGGTTGCCCATTCCTCCAAGTTTTTCAGCCTCATGTGAGAACCAGACAGATAAGCCAGATATCAGAGAGACCAAAAGTTTAGGAGAAAGACTGTAATTCCCTCTGAACAAAAGTGGAACAGATGGATGAATCCAGTCAAGGTAGGTAGAAAACAGATTGAAGAAAGGCTCTACTCTTATTTGGCTAATCATAAGTCACGAAGACACTGAGAGCCCTTGGTCCTCAGGACAGATACAAGATGTCAGACCATAGATAGAAGATCGAAGTGTTTCTTACTTCCTTCACAGTTTTACTAGAGGTTGATCAAATCAAGGCTTGTTTTCTACTAGCAGAGAATGGTAGAAATCACATGGTCATCCTCAGAAACACCAAGGCATGAGTAATGGCTCAGGTGTGGGCTACAATACAAGTCTGCCAGGATAGACTCCAAGCAGCACAGAGCAACCAGCTTAACAAAACTGCTGCCAGTTCTTAAATTTCTGGACAAACAGGCATTTTTGTCATCTCTTAAAACTATCTCCTTCTCATCAGAAACAGTGGTTTCTGAAAGGGACCCATTTTAAATTCAGAACCATGGCAGTTGATGTGCATTATGGGTGTGACAACTTACCACGAAAAGGTTTCTCCATCAGACTTAAGTTCTTGAGACTAGAGATTGTCTGTCACTGTTACATTCCCAGTGCGTGCCAGATTCTCACACACAGCGTCCTCGCTGACACTTGTTCATTCAATAAATGGTTCTTGAGATTCTCAATAAGTACTTTTTGAATTTAATTAATTAAATGCAAGAGATTTTTTTCTAATTGCTCTTTTTCTACTGCTAAGTAATGATTTTGAAGTATTTCTAACAGTGACTATTTGTTTATAATAGGCATTGAAAGTACGGCAAGCAGATGTCACCAGAGAGACTGTTCAGAAAAGTGTCTGTGTTCTAAGCAAGCTGGTAAGAGACCAAATAACTTTGTAACGTGCTTTTTTAAACACTCATGGCAGATTTGTGTTTGAGGATAAGGCATTATTAGAATAAGGAGAGATTTATGAAAACAGTGATATATTAAATTAGGGCTCATTACTTATATTCTTGCATCTCCTCTTTCTTTTTGCCTTTCAGCAGTTTTACTCTCATTTGCGCCTCTACCAAGGACTAGATAAGTGGAAGGAGATCTCATAGATAGGTTTTTGGAAAGGCGGTTGACACTTGACCAAAACAAGGCAGCTGATATATTTCACTTACCCATTTTTGTTTTGTTCTCAAGACTTATGATAAATAATATTTTAGTATTAAAATTCAAAATATAGTTACTCAGACTGTACTAATGATATAGAAGTGCATGACTCTTTTTGCAATGAAAAATGATAGCCTTAACTTGCTCTTTGAAAACTTAGAAAGTTTAAGGAAAGGAAATTTTGTAATTAATTGTATTATAACAGTACTCTAAAATTGATTCTTCTGTGTTCAAGTTGATCAGATTGAGTATATAATCATTTCAACTTCTTATTTTTAAAAAGAAAATATTGAACTTTTTTCATAGTTTTGTTCATTAAATCATTTGTGATGTTGTATGTTTATTACTAATGAAATAATAACACCTTTATCAGTAATACCAAATGACTAATTCTCCATGTCAGTATAGTCCCCCAAAATTCCTTTGTGTGGAAAAACCCAGATCTCTGTCATTTTATCTTAGATCTATATGATTACTGCATACAAAGGTTTCTGCAGTTAACCTAAACTGAAATTGGGAATATTTCATTAGCCTGGTCACCTTACGTATGTAGGTTTTGTTAATCATGTTTTCTGCAGTTGCCCAATTTCTTATGTCCATAGACAATTTAAGTGTAGTTTGCTTACTTTAGGTTGTTTTGCAAAATAAGATTTATTTTCGCTCTTAAAAAATAAACAAAATCCTGAATAATGTTAATTTAATACTGTGGACCTTAATAATAAGATTTTGAGGGTCAAGGTATTTCTTTCAAGATAGTAATTTTAAATAGAAGGCAGGACGAGTCTTCTAGGAAAGGAATGGTTATTAAAGACCCCAGTATCTGAAAATTGGCAGGTATTGCTAATCTGATTCCTGCACACAGTTTCTAGAATGGCAACCTAAAAAATATACATCAGTGAATAAGTGTTTTTGCACTGGGCCAGATGACCAGAACATAGGAGTACCAGATATTAAACCAAACATAACATGTTGAAAGGCTTCCTGAGTAATTTCATTATTCAGAGCACAATTATAATACCATAAGTGCCATTCATCCAGTGCCTATATGTCAGGAATGCTATACCAGACACTTTTTAGATATAATTATCATTCTAATCCCCATAAAAGAACAGTGAGATCTAAGTATTTACCCTTCTCATTTTAGAAATAAAGATATACATCTCAGAGGAGAAATTATCTCTCATAGACATGTAACTACTAAGTGATAAAACTGGGTAAAAATCCAGTTTTCTGTCTCTAAACAGGAATGGGGTTGGGGAGAGGTAGCTCACACAAAAAGGTTTGGGGGTTCATAGTGCATTGTAGTCTGTCTATATATATATATAAATACAACAATTTTATACTCAGATGGTAATAATGATATGTTAACAAGGATATTAGGAGAAAAAACTCTTCAGGTATAGCTAGTTTTTTACTAATTGTTTTATTTAATCAGAGCATATATACAGCATTGATCTCTATCCAAAAAAGAACATAAAAATCAGAAAGCATCTTAAAAATAAAAGGATAGAAATGGTAGAAGAGGCTTTAATTAGGAGAAATAAGAATTAAGGAATTATTTTGTTCAGGTTACAAAAGAATATTATGATAGAGGACAAAAGTTGTTCTGTGCCTCCATAGAGGACAAAAAAGGGAAATGAACTCAGATTTAATCATGAATGTTCAACAAGACATAAGTACCAGTTGCTACAGGATGATTAGATGTTGGCAGAGCCAGCAGAACTAGAACGTTTTAAATGTTATGAGAATAATAGCTAAGACTTAAGTGCTTTTTATGTGCCAAATACTCTACCACATGCTTTTACCTGTGTCATTAATTCTGAAAACAACCCCATAAGATATACTGCCTTTTCCTATACCCATGTTCACATCAGCAAGCAGGTATGGAGAGGCTAGGTGCCCAGAGTGAGCAACTGAGTAATGGAACAGAACCAGGAAGTCTCAACCGCTGTGCTCAGAATGTGACAGGCACTTTTCAACTGTAGCCAGAGCTAGAATAGATGACTTACCAGCTTTCAGCTGGGAATAATAAAAATACTAAAATTGATAGTTACTAACTTTTTTTTTTCCTGTTCTCCTTAAGTTAAAAAGCTGCATGGTGTTTGTTTTTTACTACTATCATCATAATGGTAATTTCTCATTTTTTCCTTTAAGCCTCTTTATGGCTTACTTCAAGCAAAACTTCAGCTCATTACCCACGCATATTTTGAAGAGAAGGATTTTTCCCAAATTTCCATTCTTAAGGTAACTACATCCCTCTATATAAATGTGTTTGGCTGAAGACAGATTCATGATCAAGTAAAATTGTTAGTAATATTGTGAAGAATATAATTTATTACCTTAAGAAAGACATTCTTTGAAAATAACATTGAAGGGCCAGGGATCTGCCCAAAATATATAATTCATACTTATTAAATAGTTAGCCAAACTGTCTTTGATTAGGAAATAATGACTGCAAATGACTGTACTAATATAAATGCTTTTATTAATGGATTATAGCCCTTTTGTCTATGGCTTCTCTAAATTTGCTTATCTATTAATAGACTGCACAGTATGTTTGTATATCAGTCTTTTTCCTAGCTCCCATAGCAAAAAATAGAAACACCATATGACTATTTTACTGAAGATAGGTAACATGTTTTTCTCAAGGCTGCCATGAATGTGTAGAATGTGGATCTCTCCTGGATTCTATTGAGGGTATGATGGTTAGGTATTTAGCAAAATAGTAGAAGAAATTTATCCTAGGAATCCATACCACCATGTGAATGAATCAAGCTCTAAAATGTAGCAGAAAAAGAGAAAGGAGTACTGGAAACTAGCAAGGTTTCAGGAAGACCATGTTTCTAAATTTAGGACCAGGCAAAACAAACTGCCTCAATTAACCAGTTTTTTTCTGTTTATTATATTTCTGATTTAGTGTATAAAATGATAATAAAATGGTCTAAACTGAATCTTTTTTATAGGAGCTTTATGAACATATGAATAGTTCCTTGGGAGGAATTTCATTAGAAGGATCCCAAGTATATCTTGGTAAGTAACTTTTTACAAGTTAGAAGACAAGCCTTTATTTTTTTGTGGGCATACTAAGTTGCATGTAAAACTTCATAATCACAATTATCTCTCTGTGTAGTACTTCTTGAGCATTTGATGCTGTTGCTCCCTTAAATACCTTCTTAAATTTGCTTATCTATTAATAGACTGCACAGTATGTTTGTATATCAGTCTTTTTCCTAGCTCCCATAGCAAAAAATAGAAACACCATATGACTATTTTACTGAAGATAGGTAACATGTTTTTCTCAAGGCTGCCATGAATGTGTAGAATGTGGATCTCTCCTGGATTCTATTGAGGGTATGATGGTTAGGTATTTAGCAAAAAAGTAGAAATTTATCCTAGGAATCCATACCACCATGTGAATGAATCAAGCTCTAAAATGTAGCAGAAAAAGAGAAAGGAGTACTGGAAACTAGCAAGGTTTCAGGAAGACCATGTTTCTAAATTTAGGACCAGGCAAAACAAACTGCCTCAATTAACCAGTTTTTTTCTGTTTATTATATTTCTGATTTAGTGTATAAAATGATAATAAAATGGTCTAAACTGAATCTTTTTTATAGGAGCTTTATGAACATATGAATAGTTCCTTGGGAGGAATTTCATTAGAAGGATCCCAAGTATATCTTGGTAAGTAACTTTTTACAAGTTAGAAGACAAGCCTTTATTTTTTTGTGGGCATACTAAGTTGCATGTAAAACTTCATAATCACAATTATCTCTCTGTGTAGTACTTCTTGAGCATTTGATGCTGTTGCTCCCTTAAATACCTTCTTAGCCACTGTTTATATTGAGAAGGGTTAACATAATGTACCTGTAATATTTGCAACTACGATTGTACTAGGCAAGTTTTTGCTTTTCAGAATAGTAATGAAAGTTTTTTCTATCCTACGATAAGGTTAACCAGGTTTATTCCCTGTCATAACAGAGAGGGAGAGCAAGAGAGTGATCTGCTCAGCTCTTTTCTAAGATTCTTCAAGTTGGGGGTTTTGTTCAATTTATACTATCCTGACCCAGAATATCCATTGGTGTCCAAGGTACTCAGTAGGCATCACTATCCTTTTCATGGTTTTTTTAAGTTATAATCACACAGTGACTTTTGTTCAGTCAGCCCTCCTTTAACATGAAGTAGCCATTCTGTGCTAATTCACTTTTACAATCCTGTGTGTGATGTAAGCTAGTTTCAGAGCTCCTCTTCTGAGAACATGTTTTTCTCTAAATTATTTGCTCTTGACCTGTGACAGATGATCTGAGAAGGCTATGATTCAGAAATAATAGCATATGGAGGTAGTGACCAAAACCATGTATTTAAGTGATTGCTAAACTTGTGTAATTTGTAAGATGTGTATAGAATGGGGAGATGTTAGAGCAGAACTGTCTATAGCAGTAGCTACTAGCCACATATGACTCTTTAAATTTAGTTTAGAATTATTAAGTCAATTTGTCAGTCACACTTTCCACATTTCAAGTGCCGAATTAGCTGCATGGGCTACTATAGGGAGTAATGCAGAATGTTTTATTGGGCAGAATTTTTTAATGCTTGACTATTAACAGTGATTTGATAAGTTCTAAGTTTATGTGTACATAATCACCTGTTACCTAAATACTTGAATATTTGCATATTGCTGCTTTCTTTTTTACTTTCCTTTTGGGTTAGGGGAAGGACTTCAACAAAAACAGTAGAATGTGGTCACAGATGAGCAGCTTTTTTCTTAACGTTATAGGTCTGTCTCCTCGAGATCTTGTGCTTCATTTTCGACACAAGGTATGATACCATATTTAATTTACCATGTATTAAAATGGGACACAGTTTTTATTGTGTTTTAACTAGGCAATATTTTTTTATAAATGATACACAAAAACTGGACATATTTAATGTATGCAATTTGATGAGTCTGCATACATTAGTGAAACCAACACCACAATCAAAATAATGAACATATCCATTACCTCCAAAAGTTTATTCCTGCTTCTTTGATTTTTTTTCTTTTTTGTAGTAAGAACACTACATGAGACTGTCTTCTTAAAAAATTTCTAAGTGTACAATACTGAAGTGCTAACTATATGCACATTGCTCTACAGCATATCTCTAGAATTTATTCATCTTGCATAACTGAAACTTAACAGCTGTCAAGCAACAACTTCCATTTCCCATTCCCCCCAGCTCCTGGCAACTTTCATCCTACTGTCTGTTTCTATGATTTGACTCTTTTAGCTACCTTATACAAGTGGAATCATAGTGTTTTCCTTCTGTGATGGCTTAATTCACTTATTTATGCTCATTCATGTTACATGTGGTGGGATTTCTCTTTATTAAGGCTGAATAATATTCCATTGTATATATATGTATATGTGTGTGTATATATGCATACACACCAGATTTTCTTCATCCATTCATCTGTTAATGAACATTTAGCTGTCTGCATTCCTTGGTTATTTTGACTAATGCTTCTGTGAACGTAAAGAGTGCAAATATTTCTTCAAGATCTTGATTTTAATTCTATTGGATATATAGCCAGAAGTAAGATTATTGGATAATATGGGACTTATACTTTAAACTTTTTGAGGAACCTCCGTACTGTTTTCCATTGTAGCTGCACTATTTTCATTCCAATTTAAGAATACAGCAGTATGAGGGCTCCAATTTCTCCATATCCTTGCCAGCAGTTGTTATCTTTTCTTTTCCTGGTAACAGCCATCCCAACAAGTGTAAGGTGATAACCTCATTGTGGTTTTGATATGCATTTCCCTCATGATGAGTGATGTTGAGAACCTTTACCTATGCCTTTGGCCATTTACGGAGCTTTTCTTTGGTGAAATGCCTATTTAAGTTCTTTTCCCCGTTTTCAATTGGGTTATTTGTTTTTCTGCTACTGAGTTGTAGCTTATTATATATTTTGGACATTGAAACTTCATCAATCTCATCAAAGATTGCTTTGCAAGTATTTTCTCCTGTTCTGTAGCTGTCTTTTTCATTCTGTTGATTTTTCCTTTGCTGTGAAGAAGCTTTTAGTTTGACACAGTTCCACTCATCTATCTTTGCTTTTGTTGCCTGTGTTTTTGGTGTCATACTCATTAAATGGCTGCCAAGGCCAGTGCTGTGAAGTTCTTCCCCTGTGTTTTCCTCTAGAGTTCTACAGTTTCAGATCTTACATTTAGGTCTTTAATCTACTTTGAGTTGATTTATGTGTGTGGTGTAAGATAAGGGTCTGATTTCATTCTTTCACCTTTTTTTTTGAGTATCATTAACATACAATCTTATGTTGATTTCAAGTGTACATCACAGTGGTTCAACAGTCCTCATGACCAGCTTATATTGTGATTGCAAATTCTTGTGTTCCATTTATCTCCCACAACTGCCCCAACCCCTCCCCCTTTAACTGGACAAACTTCATGTGCTACATGGTCAAGTGCAGGATTGTTGCATAACTGTGTTTGGTTCTTTTGAAACAGCTCTCATAACAATACAAAGTTGAAAGTATTGGTGGTGATTATATGATAGAAATTTCTCAAAGTATATAAATACTGTCTGCACAGGATAGGATACTTTTTCCCATATTTGTAATTTCAGCTATCATGAAATTAGAGTAGAAAAAAACATGTTCTAGATATTTTATAGGTTGCATTGAGGTTGGAACACTTTTCCAGTAAAATACCTGTACTTGTGCCTTCTGATCTTTATTATTAAAGCATATATGTTGACTAGGATATACACACATTGATCATTCATTTAACAAGCATTTCTTATCTGCTCTATCAATGCCCTGGACATCCAAAAATAAATGAATAGTCCTGCCCTTTAAGAAACTTGCAGATTTTAAGCAAAAAATGGCACTATTCTTTACAAAACACACAATTTGTTAGAGATTTAAGAGGTTCTTTTTAGGGGACACATAATTTCTCAATGTAAGCTCATAATTTTCTATGTATTTTTTTAAAGCCCTGTTATTTAGTATTGATTAAAAATATATATACTTATGTTTGAGAGGGGGAAAAGGCAAATGAGTATTAGGGTTGAGTTTCCTATTTTAATACAATATTTCTCTTTTTCTTCAGGTCTTAATCCTGTTTAAACTAATTCTTCTTGAAAAAAAGGTGAGATTGGAAGAGATGGAATATTTAACATTACTGACATTTCTTAAATACTATATAAAATCAATGATGAAGTATAAATTAAGACCATTTTGCCTATCAAATGTGGTGAGCTGTAACACATATTCTTGTCTACTACCATAGAATAAATTCATGCAGTCTTTCTGTAAACAGTTTGATAGTATATTCAACTAGCGGAATGATTGTTGTTTTTTAATTTAAATATAGTTAACATACCATATATTAGTTTCAGATGTATGGCATAATGATTAGACATCACAAAGTAAAAATCATGATAAATCTAGTTACCATCTGTCCCCATACAGAGTTTATTTACAGTATTATTGACTATATTCCTTATGCTATACTTTGCATCCCCATGATTTACTTATAACTGGGAGTTTGTACCTTTTAATCTTTAATCCCCTTCACCTATTTTGCCTGTCTCCTGACCCCAGGATAGTTTTGACTGCAGGTAACAGAGGTAACCAATTTAAACTGACTTAAATCGTAAGGAAATACATTGGCTCACTTCAAACATCAAGATTATTTGACTGAATGATTGAACAGTATAATAAAGTACCTAGTTTTTTTCTCATCTCTTTGCTCTGGAATCCTTGGTGCTAACTTTATCTTAAACCTGGTACCCTTTATAGAGTATGATAACTGCCAACAATAATTGAGCTAAATGCCTCCTCAGTTATAACTGGTGGCAGAAATAATACCTCTTCCCAAACCTTGTTATAAGAATTCCTCCTTTTAATTTGTTTGCACCTATGAGGCCATGTGCCTGTTCTGAACCAATATTGTTGCTAAAGAAATGCCTATACTGATTGGCTTAAGCTTGGATTCCATACCACTATCTAGTACAAAGGGAAGGGATTGCCATAATTTTAGGCCAAATATTTTGATCAGAGATTAAGCTAAGGATCTGCAAATTAGGCCCCAGGGCCAAATCTGGCCCACCACCTGTTTTTGTAAATAAAGTTTTATTGGAATACAGAGGTGGAATGGATTTTGGAGAGTCAGCCATTCATAATGTCCAGAATGTTTCATTACCTTAAAAATGCTTATTATTTGGCCCAGTTATTCTTCCCTTAGAACTAATATGAGTTGGACACAAAGCTCTAAGAGATTCTATCACAGAATCATTTTTAATAATGAATTATCAGTGAATAACTTAGTAATGGTTTATCTTGTATATAATTCCAGTCAGCAAAAAGATTCTGAGGGTTTTTTTAATTGTCATAAAGATGTTTCATGGAATGTTAAGTGAAAAAGGTTGGTCCAACTATTTTTATAAATAACATATATTCATTGGAAAGAGACTGGAAGAAAAGACATTAACAGTTGACAAGAATACAGCTTTTATTTTTAAGAAGGAAATACTTTTTCATATTCTAGTTTTCTGCAATGGATGTGTATTCCTTCTTCATACAGAAAAAAGTAAATTTAAAAAAAATGAATCTAATATATATTAGTATGCTTCAACCTTTTAAGAAAGTTTTTAATTGTTGTAAAATACACATAGCATATAATTTACCATCTTAATCATATCTAACTATATAGTTGAGTGGTATTAAGCACATTCACATTGTGCTTTTATGACCATCCATCCACAAAACTCTTTGTGCAAGACTCAAACTCTCTATCCATTAAATAATAACTCCCCATTCTCTTCTCCCCCCAACCTCTGGCACCCACTGTTCTACTTCCCATCTCTATGAATTTGGCTACTCTAGGTTTCTCATGTAAGTGGAATCATGCCATATTTAATTTTTTGTGACTGGCATATTCCACTTAGCATGATGTCCTCAAGATTCATCCATGTACAACATGTGTGAGAATTTTCTTCCTTTTTAATGCTGATTAATTTTCCATTGTACATACATACCCATTTGTTGATCCCTTTATCCATCAATGGGTTACTTCTACCATTTTGGCTCATGAATAATGCTACTATGAACATGAGTTTACATATATCTCTTCAAGAACCTGCTTTCACTTCTTTTGGGCATATATCCAGAATTGGGATTGCTGGATCATATGATAATTCTATTTTTAATTTTTTAAGGTACAAGCATATGTTTTTCATAGCAGCTGCACCATTTTACATTCCTACCAATAGTGCACAAGGGCTACAGTTTCTCCATGTCCTCGTCAACTCTTGTTATTTTCTGGCTTTTTTGATGGTACCGCCCTAATAGTTGTGAAGTGGTATCTCCTGGTCTTGATTAACATTTCCCTAATTATTAGTAATGTTGAGCACCTTTTCATGTGCTTGTTGTTGGCTGTTTGTATATCTTCCTAGGAAAAATGTCTGTTCAAGTCCTGTCACAATAGTTGTAGCATCCATTGGTAATTTTTACCTGAATCTTGGTGGGTATTGGTTGATCTCTAATTCTTAATCATTCATTCTGTACTTATTAGCTGTTAATCTTCTGTAAAGAAAAGTTTTCCCCCTAACTCTTATCCCCCACCACCACATTTTTTTAGTATCATTGGACTCATGGATTTTCTAATTTTGATTGAATCCATTTCAGGTTCTCTTTTATATTTCTCCAGTAAACAAATTGGTGGGCTCACTGATGACTGTCTTGTCCCTTTTTCCAGGTAAGAAAATAGCAATATCTACTTTTTCTTTTAACTTGTACTGGAATTTTCAATGATAAAAGTTTCAAAGATAAACTCGTTAAGATTAACATTTCTATTTTAATATGACATTTTCCTTTAGGCAGTATAGGTTTCTTTTTCTCTGAGATTTTCTTTTTTTAATATCTGTGCAAGCATAGCTTATTAAAATTTTTATAGGTGAGTTCCACTACTTAGAACAGAATATACAACTTTTATTTTCTTCCACCTTATTATAAGCCAAACTGTTCTCCAATGTTGTATGTTTTAGGCATGATTGAGCATGGTCTCAGTGACTCTTCTCAGTACAGACCCCGAAAGAGTATGTCTGAAGATGCTGGACTTGAAGAAAACAATCCCCCTGTAGATGATTTTGTTTCTGTGTCTGCTCCTGACATTTCAAATACTGACTTGGGAATGGTCAAGAAAATCATGACAGGAAACCATGGAGAAGATTCTGCCATCAAGACTGAAGAACCTTTGTTCCAAGTAGAAGATGAGAGCAGGAAAGGACAGGAATCCAATGATACCAATCAATATTTGAAACCTCCTTCTCGCCCATCTCCAGAGTCTTCAGAAAGTGACTGGGAGACCTTGGATCCTAGTATCTTAGAGGACCCCACATTAAAAGAACGAGAACAGGTGGGGTCAGAACAGACAGACTCATTACTGAAGGAATCTGTGCCCTCAGACAGTCCTCCGATTACGGTACAACCTCAAGCTAACACAGGCCAGGTGGTCTTGATACCAGGGCTGATTTCCGGCTTGGAAGAGGACCAGTATGGCATGCCCCTGGCCATCTTCACAAAGGTAAAGTTCAATATCTTTTATTGAGGCCCTTAAAGAATCTGATAAACTCCCTTTAGAATTTAACTTTTAGTGTTGAACACATTTTAGGTATGAAAAAAATACTCAAAATGTATTTGTAATTTTTTTAAATAACTTAAACACAACATAATAAATCAAATTGAATCTTTGACTCAGGATCTTAACATCCTAGGATATCATTTCTTTATGTCATTGCCATTAATACATTTAGATTCTAGTAGCTACATTATTTGGATTCTCTAATTTTTCATTTTATTCAGGAAAAACTATTTTATTGCCATTTGTGAATTATTTTTCAAAATGGAATAAACGAAGAGAAATTCCATTTCATCCCCTCATCAGCAAGCGTTTATGGCCTTGCTGTGTGCCTGGGCATCATACTGTGTTCTGAATGCCTGCACCCGTGATTTCGCAGTCTGCCATGAAAAGCAAATACATCTTTACTGTAACTAGAACAAAGTTTTATGTTTTTCTCTATATACCATCCTTCATGCATGAAGTAAAACTTTATGTGGAAAAGAAAGTAGGAGGATAGCGTTGACTTGAACATGTACTTCTTCCTGTGCTGTACTCTGCCATACATTCTTCCTGGTATATCCAGCTGCACAAGAAGCCCTTGCCCCAGTAATAAGTACTTACTGAGCAGGTAACACAGAATGCTGTCTGTGTTCATTCTGTGGCCTGTTGGGGGATTCTGAAGCTATCTTAATTGGTTTAATGATTGAACTATTGCAGTTTCTTAAAACTGAGATTTAGGAACCTGTGGAGAAAACTCAGGGCTCTCAATCTGCTGGGTTAGTCAGTAGCCCTAAATTATGGTTTCTCTGAACTCGTGTGGTAGTCGACTGCATATACTTTTTGGAGCCCTTACTTTGCTGTTTTACCCACCCACCCTTAAATTTGTATGTTTGTGAAGATAATCAAGAGGGAGATTAACTGTGGAGGGATTTTGTTTTTTGTCTTTGAGGTTGCTGAGTTAAAGTAGTGTAAACATGTATTATGTGTGCTCTTAATAAACAGTGTTTGGCAGAATATTTTATTTGTGTGCCTTATACCAGTGCTGAATATATGATGGGCTTTCCATCCATCATTACAGTAAATAAAGCATTTTTCTTTTTGGTTTTATTTTATTATGTACTGATTAAAATATGATTTCTCACAGTTTTAAATGCAAATGTCAAATCTTTCATGTTAGTAACTTTGGAATGTGAAGTATTCTTAAAAGTGAACTGTCTTTAGGCTTTTTTTTCTCTTGAAGGTCTTAAAATGCTTGTACAGAAGGAATTGGGTTAGCAAAACATCTTGAAAAGTAGTTTCAAAAAGCTGGAAAGAAGCTTACATGAGTGGAGAACATTGCTGAAGTAGGGTAGTGAGCTTTGAAGAGAATAATAAGCTAAATGATCCCTGGTTCAGTAAGCATGTGGAGACAGATTTCTATTTAAGAAAGCATTTTGTCTGGAAGAGATTCCCCAGCTCTCCAGCTCTCTAGTCTTCTCTCTGGTACGTAGAATTGCCTGAGGATGATGGCTTTCATGTCTGTGTTAGAGATGAGGATTACTATATAAATGCTGTAGACACCAGATTCTAAAATATGCTTAAATCTTTCCTGAGAACTTTGTAGGAAGTGTAGGAAATAAGCTGGGGTGCCGAGGGAGAGGAGATGGGTCTGGAGGCAGCTTTCAGGTACAAAACCCATAAGGTATAGGGACGGGAGTGAAGGAACCAGAGGAGAAGGACAATTAGAAAATGTACGTATTCTCCACTGGACATGTATTTCCACTTTATTAGCAAAAAAAGGAGAATGAGGGAAATGGGAAAAAAGGTTGAGAGGAAGTTGGGGTAGCTGTTGTGTTCAAATGTGAAAAGACAATCCTGAGGGCTTTTCTTCCATTTTACCCTGATCTTAAATCTTTCTATCTTATCACTGAAAGAGTTCTGGTATGGGCTGCACACTGGGGCAGAGCAGCTAGAGCAGGACTGGCCAGCAAAGCTTACAGCCCTGGGAGTTAGGGCTCCGGCCTGTTTGAATCTCACAAGTCAGCTTCCCCCCTCCTCTTTTCCAGTTGTAAGGGAACTTTTATTATTTAGTGAAATGAGTTGAGTGTGGTCATAAATGGAACTCTGGTGAATATAAAGTAATCACTGTAGAGATTGAGCATCTTTTCATAATCTTGTTAGCCATCTGGATATCCCTTGGTGTTCTATTTGTTCAGAGCTCTTGAATTGTCTCCCTTGTCACTGATTTGTGGGTATATGTTCTAGATACCATTTCTGTTTATTAGTTTTTTTTTAACCTTACAGTTAGTACTTTGTGGGTCTCAAAAAATTCTCCCCTCCGGAAGGTCATGGAAACAATCTCCTATATTATCTTTTAAAGCTTTATAATTTTGACCTTCACATTTTGGTTTTTATTTACCTGGACTTTATTTTTGTGTATGGTTGAGGAAGGTAGTCTGTTTCTGGACTCATTTTGTTGTTCTTCTATTGGCGTGTTTGCCTATCTGTGGGGAGTGCTACACTGAGTGAATTACCATGGATATCATGTCCAGCAGAGAAAAGGCTTCCCCTCCTATTATTCTTCAAGACTGTCTTAGCCATTGGCATTTCCACATCACTTTTAGAATCAACATAAGTTCTCACTCACACAGGTTGAGATTTTGATAAGGATTACCTTTAAACTCAAGATAAATTTGGTTAAATATTCAAAAGGTTCCAAAGCTTCTCTGTATAATAAAAAGTCTCCCACTCATTCCATCCCCTGCTGCTCAGTTGCCCTCTCTGGTGGCAACCAACATTATCAATGCCTTCTGTTCCTTCTGGGAGTATTTTATGCATAAACAAATGCATAGATATTTCCCCTCTCCCTTTTTACACAAATGGGAGCAGACTGTACCCATCTTCATGCCCCTTGTTCGTGTTTACTAAATATTCCTTGGAGGTGAACTTAATCCCTGTTTATCACTGTAGGGTGTTCCACTATATGAACAGTTACTAAGTTTCCCATTCATGATTGGTTAGGATTCTAGTCTTCCACTATAATAAATAATGCTGAAATAAATAGCTTTTTTTTTTTTTATTCTCACACATGAGCAGGTCTATCTGTAGGATAAATTACAGGAAGTAGAATGCAGGGTCGAAGAGTTTATGTATTTGTGTATATATATATATATACACACACAATTTTTTAGAGAATATATTTTTTGATAATTTTAAAAAGCTTTGAACTGTTGACATTTTCAAACAATTTCTAGTTTCTGTGCTGTTACAGACCTAGCCAAGAATTCGGTGCTGTTACAGACCTAGCCAAGAATACACTTTTCTTCTCCAACACAATCAATTATGAAATGTAATACTATGCAGAGTTCTTACTACTGTTTTGCAATATAAATCTTCTGTGGTGATCGATAGTTCTGTTATCTGGCAACAAAGGAGGTGCTGTTGCTATTTACAGCACTTCTGTGACTAAGAAGGATTCTCAATTGCAGTTGAAGTGGGTATTTTGGGATCCACATTGAGTGTGAAAGAGCATTCAGTATTGTAATTATTTATGTTTAAAACAGGTAGTTAGGAAGGGTCTTCCTTTTAAATACATAACACACATAGTAAAGCATGAGCCACAAGCCCTTTGCATGAGCCACTTTGGCTGAGTGATTCTGAGTGAGGGCAGGGGTCCTTTCAGCCTTTAGTCACAGAAGGATGGTTTGAGAAGCACTCTGCTGAGTGTCTCTAATGCATAGCCATGGATTTATTTTTGCAGCTTCTTTGGGCAGTTTATCAAGCAGAGGAAGACATTGTCTAGAGTAAGAGTAAAACCAAGTTATTAGACCTACATTCCAGCTTTTGGAAGTTTTCTGTCCCATATTAGGTATTTAAAAACTACCTGTCAGTACAAAGTACATCCTAGATATACTGAAGAAAATGAACTAGCAAAAGGGATAGCTCCTGCCTTCAGAGGAATTCATCTCATGGTGTAAATAAGATTATCATCCAGATAAGTTCAGTTTTTCTGTTTCTGTTTTTTTATAAGTAAAAATAAATAAAACTGTCATAGAACTTGAGATTGAGAGCAAGTTCATGTGTTCCACAAGTCTGCCATCCTGGCCTCACACACAAATTGTGCCACTTGTTAAAAATCTGTCTTGATTTAGAATCTCTCAGCAGAATTCCGCTTCCTCCCTCAATGCGTCATTCCAGTGTTAGTACTTTATTCTCAGGAAAAAGCTGCATTTTGTGCACTGAACTGTGGTTTGGAAATTCAGCTGTAATATTCAGGACAATGGTATTTCCAAATAAAATGCAAATGGAAATTAATTAAATACACAGCCACTTCTAGTTTCATTTTGCTTTACACATTTAGTAACAAATATCTTGAAATATTTTTGCATGATTTTTAACAAGAGGACAATACAACAAATGCTATGCAGTGCTTTGATATTCTTATCATCGTACTTGGTGTACTGTTATGTATATATGTGCAGATGCATGTGTTTTAAATTTTTACTAGAAGAACTAACAGCTTTCTATTAAACAATATAGAAATACTAAGTATTAAGCCCAACAATGGGCCTAATGCTTCATTTCCTAAATGAAAAAGTCCAGTTCATTAGTTACTGTGGAGGGTTTTAAGTTGAACTGAAAATAAATCAAGTAAGACAATCTTCATGTTAGACATCTTTGCCAGGATCTGGCCATTTATTTATAAAGGTTGGTGATTAATGGTACTTATTGCAGTCAGGACCTGAGGTTTCCCTGGAATATTATTGCAATGAGTCAAAACTCAGCTGCATTAGAGATGAGTGGGTGTAGTGGAAGATGGGGAGTTTCTTTTCCTCCTATCAGCTCTCTAGGCTTGAAGAGAGAGGTAGCTGTTCTGTTACTTTTCTAATACTCTTTATTCCTCTAATTTGTATTCCTCTAATACTCCTTTAATTCATAGGGATATCTGTGTTTGCCTTACATGGCGTTGCAGCAGCATCATCTTCTCTCTGATGTCACTGTTCGGGGATTCGTTGCTGGAGCTACTAACATCCTTTTTCGACAACAGAAACACCTCAGTGATGCCATTGTGGAAGTAAGTTTATGTATGAGTACTTGTCCTTGACACTGCTGGTCTCTGTTTTCTTTATTTAAATGGAATTATAAGGGCATAATTGTCAAAAATAAGAATAAAACCAAGTTGTTAGTTTTTGAAGTCTTCTCTCCCATACTAAGTGCTTAACAGCCACCTGTTAGCATGACACTTCCCAGATGCAGTGAAGAACATGGACTAGCAAAAGGGATAACATTATTAGTGTTAATAATAACACTAATAATGGTGACAGTTGCTTCCTGTGCCAGGCATTATGATGCCTTACATATATTAACTAATTCTCATAACAGCTGGTGAGATAGGTATTATTACCACACCTCCAAAAGCTAAGGAACAGAGAGATCAAACAGTTAGTTAAATGGATAAACCAGGATCACAACCCAGGCAACCTGATTCTACTACCATGTCATAATAAAAATTATTTATTGTTTAAATAAATACTTCTAGCCTGTTTAATATGCACTTAATATCAAGAGGAAGAGATATATATTTGACACCTTAGCAGGATATAAGATATATGCAGGATATAAACACATATATAGGTGTTCAGTTTCACAATTGAAGTAATTAAAAAGAAATTTCAGCCACCCAAAGGTTTTTTAAGGTTCTAACAGAAAGTACCAAATGTGCTTCCTGGGGAAATGTAAGTGAAAAATATGGGATTCAAAGCTATGTTTATTCCAATTTTGAAGAAAAGTACATACAGAACTTCCAAGGCAGGAGAATACAGATGGGGAGGACAGTTGCTTTAACATTATTGGTTACATTCTAGTTCTAAAGTTGGTTGGCAAGATCATGAGTTTTATTATTATACTTCAAAGCTAGCCTATAAGTTACAGATATTTCTCTGTATATCAAATATTATATAATAATATTCCAAAGTATCTGTACTCACAAGTTTTTAGGAATTAACCCTAATTTTATTCATTTGTGGTTGTGTGATAAAGGTGATTTTTATTATACATCTTTATTTCCCCAAATACTTATAATCAACATAAATTGCTTTTATAATTCAAAATTACATATTTATGTGTGTATTTTCAGAAAACTAAAAATAAGCATTTTTTAAATAGAGAAAGAAACTTCAATGTAAAAATCTGTCTTTTTCACTTTTTGAGAATGCTGTTGTTCATATTTTTTATTTCCAGCTCCAACTTCCCAGTAGTTACTCTTTAAAGTAGGACGTGGGATATCTGCATGAATGCCCAGACTCTGACTTGTACCTGGGTGCCCTCTAGGTAGAAGAAGCTCTGATCCAGATCCATGATCCAGACCTCAGGAAGCTGCTGAATCCAACCACTGCAGACCTGAGGTTCGCAGATTACCTGGTGAGGCACGTGACTGAGAACCGGGATGATGTCTTCTTGGATGGCACAGGCTGGGAAGGAGGTGACGAATGGATCCGAGCCCAGTTTGCAGTCTACATCCACGCGCTCCTGGCTGCCACACTACAGCTAGGTAAGGACCATACAGCCACTTTTTCATTTTGTTACATTTATGATGTTTTGAAATGCATAAGAAATATATTTTCATTTTAGAAAAATTACCTGTTACTCCTTCATACAGAGATAACTACTCTTATTCAAGACCTTTTTCTATGCATATACTTCAGATTTTACTTTGTGGTATTCATATATTTCCTTTTACAAAAATGGATCCCATCATACGTGGTTTTTTAAACTTTGGTTTTCTTTATAATACAAACAAATATATATCAAGACAGTAAATGCATATCTTTGTCACTTTTACATGGCTGCTTAGTATTAAAACATATTGCAGTGTTTAGTAGTGTTTAGGGGCTAAACACTGATGTACATACATAAAGGGAAAAAACAGAAATGTAAAAAATAGAAGTCACTGGAAATCACTTTCTGAGTGATTAGCCCTCAGACTTATTCCCCATTCTAAGAACTATTACTCCTGTTCAATGATTAAAATGGACCAAGTAAACGTAAAATCACTCCTCTATTAATACTATCTAACTCCCTGTAGGAAAAAATGTATGAAAAGAGAACATGAGGTTCTGCGATGAACTTTCCCACAATGGACAGCTACCCCCTGGATATTTTAGCAAATATTCAATTTTTTTATTGCTTGTTGTTGTTAAAAGAGTGTTGAGCTTTTGTTTTTCATTTTTTTAAATTACCTCTACCACCTTTTTGAGGATTTTTTTTTTTTTTAGAGGGCATCTCTCATATTTATTGATCAAATGGTTGTTAACAACAATAAAATGCTGTATAGGGGACTCAATGCACAATCATTAATCAACCCCAAGCCTAATTCTCAACAGTCTCCAATCTTCTGAAGCATAACGAACAAGTTCTTA